ATATATTTTATTATTATTAAAATAAATCGAAGATCTCCAGAGTTTAATATAGTAACCTTTGCTCCGGAGTCTTTTAATGACAACGGAGGTCCTCCAGAGGTCTACGCCTAAAGATCTTCGGAGATCTTTGCTAAAAAATTTCCTGATGAATAACAACAGACCTTACAATACACAAAAAAACAAAAAACACCAATCCTAACAACAACAACAAACAATTTCAAACAATCTAACAACCAATAATACAAATTAAAACAACAAACTAACTAACATCATCCTCCAATTATTTTCCCAAAACTTATCCATGCCCATACAGGATAAATTAAATTATTAGGGAGGCATTAGTTCCCCAAAACTAAGTAGTTACTTTCTCTTTTTCTTGCCTCAAGGTTTTTTATCAGAAATATACTTAGAACTGTGGTAGGCTAATATATATAATAATGTATCTTAGTATCTTAATATTAATTATGTAATATTTTAACTACTCTATTAATAAAGTCACGAGAAATGCCTCACTTAACAAAAAAAAAATTACTAATAGTAAAAACTCTCTTTTGATTATGTCTGGTTTGTTAAAAACTTTTCTTTTATAATAATTTTAAGCAAGAAAAAAATGTTTTACACTTTTTATCACAAGTGAGCTTCAGCTCAAGAATTCAAGAATCTTCAAGACAACTGATGCAGTGAGATGGAACCTTTAATTAAAGTCTATTCAAGTTTGGGAGTCTTGCTTATTCTTCAATTGCATAAGAAAATGTTCATAACAGTTTTCTATTCTTTTGTTCTCTTGTACCCTTTCTTACTGTTACTAAAATTTTTGTAAATTTTATTAACTTTGGATAAATACAACTATATATTATCAATATTTATTAATATTTATTAGTTTTAGTTATATTTTCTATAGAATACTTTCTTCTTTTCTCCAAGAATTCTCAAAATGCCTATATTATTTTGAACAGTGCAGCAAATTCGGAGCGTCGCAGCTCAAAAACTATGTTCTGAAGCTTCTTTGAGGTTCTAAGCAACTATTTGCGGAAAGACCAGAGGAATAATGTTTGTTAAGATCTGAAAAGCGACCGTCTTACTGATATTTTGAGTAATTTCGCTTTTTCTTTTACGGATGAGAATTTTATTTGATGATCATCCTGTGTAACAAATAATTTTTTAACCAATTCTTTTGTGTAAATAGATGAACCACACATAAATAATTAGATTAGAGGCGACCAAAAATCGATCAAAACATTATAAAAAGACTGCAATTTCTCCTAGCTATGAAAAAAAGAACAATTATCATAATTATAAAATTCCGAATTCTTGTATTTTCTTTAATAAAATTATATTTATCCCATATTTTTCTTTTACATTTTTTTATTGTTTTTCTATTGAAATTCAATATTTTTATATTGTTATCTTTTGATTTCAATATCAGAACAGAGTTGTGAAATTGACTAAAACAATAATTTTGAATTGTTTATGTTAATTTATTTAATAGTGTTTGAAACAAAACATATGTTGAATAAATTAAATCATTGAGGATTGAAAATTATTTTTATCAATAATTTTGAAGTCTGTCAAGGGAGGAATTGAAAGTTTCAATATATTTGATTGTGAATTTTATCTTCTTTTGATTTTTTTTGATATTTCTTTGAATATTTTCTTTTATTTTTTTTTATTCTGTTTCTATTTTCTTTTATTTTATAGGAACACCCTGTTCACTGTGAGTCTAAATTGGCACAATTTTCATTTTGCTCTCCCAAGGTAGTAACATTACCCTTACTCTATTATGAAAACCATACACATTATTACTATTATACACATTAAGTCAAACATTGTTCATAAGATACATGTATACTTATTAAGTCAAATACTGTTCATAAGATATACTCAAACAGAGTTAATGGGTCTATTGTTTATTTTAAGTTAATCCTCAATCACAATATTTTGGTAACACTTGCTATACCATCACAATTCTCACAATATTTTTACTTAATTAAAAAACTGAAATCAATTTATTCCCTTCAAATAATAAGTATCTTACAATCATCCAATCAGATTTTATATAAAAATCAAACAAAAACTGTATATTTTCAAATTGGTTTTTGAAGAAATAATTGGATTTCTACTTATAGATTTTATAGTTTATTCAATTTAGTTTTAATTTTAGTTATATTTGTTATTTTCTTTTCATTTATTTTATATCCAAAAAATCAAAAAAATTCACAAAATTTTGTTGAGTAAGTAGGCATAGCTACTTTTGTTATCTGACATTTTAGTATTGCTTTTGAAATTTTTTACAATATTAGTTAAATAGTGATTAAGTAGGCAAGCTAGCATTTAACTTGTTGTATGCAATGCACTTAAGAGATGTTGTTTCTTTCTCAATGTATAATTTTTATTAAAATGATTTTTTTTTTACATTTTATCAAATAAAAATTTAAATACTTTAACATATGCCAAACAAAATTTATTAATATAAAATTGCTTGTTAAAATAGTGATTATAAAAATTGTATGGGTGTCAAAATTTTAACAAAAAATTAAAAAATTTTTGTTTAGAAAAAAATCATTAATTATAATAATAAACGTTTGTTTAAATTTAATAAAAATTTTATCATATTATGAGGAACATGTTTACATAATACATAAAAGTTGTTTTTATTAATAAAATAAAAAATTTAATACATGACAACTATTTTATTTAATTATAATAATTCTTAAGTGGTCCTTCATTTATTAGAGGGGGACTGTATATAGGCTATTTGTACACAATTTCTTTTATCAAGAGTTGACCGTATTATGTAATGGTTTTGCCGTGATCTATTATTTAAATTTTCTTATTTTGTTTATTTTATTTTCTTATTGTCATTTAATTATGTAATGGTTTCGCCGCGATCTATTATTTAAATTTTTTTATTGTCATTTAATTACGTAATTATTGGATCAAATGTATAAAAAAGAAATTAAATAAATGAAAATTAGTCTTTTTTTTTCGGCCAACATCAAATCCGCCTTACCTCTAATAAAATATCCTTCTCACCTAACAAACGTTGCGCGAATCTTAGCTTTCATTAGTGACAGACTCGCCGATCACCGTTACAATATACTGTATATACTGTATATACTGTATATAAAGTATTCAACCTGACAAATCTTAAATAATTATAAAATATAAATGTTAAAATTAAATAGCTATATATATATTTTTTAAAAAAAACCTTTTATATAATACAATTTTCTATTTTTTATAAATTGCACTATAATGAAGTGACCATGCTTTTTTGTTTAATAATAAATTTAAGACACGTGATCCTTTTGTCCAGGTAGTGTATATATCAAATGAGTGTAAAAGGAAATGCACAATAAGATATTAGTAAAGTAATACTTGCCGACCAAATTTATTCCATGTCTCTCTGATTTGCGAATTCACTCGCGACAACATGTAGGACACAATAAATTTAAATAGTAATATTGACACATTAATGGTGAATACCTATAAGGAAATATACAATAGGAAATGTAAATCGTTTTACCTAATCGATTTAAACAAAGCTGCACAATTGTTATTAAGATAAACAGACGGTTTTCTATTTATTCAAATTCCTTAAAATTCTCTGGGCAGTATTCCTTATGTAACCAAATCGTTTAACCTGATCGAAAACAAAGTTGCATAACGCTAATATAATAGGCATGATACCACCGAATAACAATGCTAATGCATTGTTATTAAGATAAACAGACGGCTTTCTATTTATTCAAATTCCTTAAAATTTTCTTGGCAGTATTCCTTACGTAACCAAATCGTTTAACCTGATCGGAGACAAAGCTGCATAACGCTAATATCTTAAACATTATACAGTACCATCGACCTTTGCCATTGTATAAGAAAGTCACAATGGAAATTATTTTTTAACAAAGTTGCACAATGCTAATGAATCGTTATTAAGATAAACATACGGATTTCTAAAAGTATTCCTTACGCAAGTGAGGCCTAACCATAGAATCAGAAATTTCTTTTTATATAAATAAAAAGTTTTGATAAACGTACATTGAGTTTGGAATTCTATGGAAAATGAGTGAATTCGACCTTGAGGAAGGCCGAGTTCCTGAGAAATATCAAAATTCGAGCGATGATGGAGAAATTCAATCACACGTCGGAAATGAAACTTCGGTTGATTATGAAAATTTTCCACACAATGGAAAATCAATATATGCCTTTTGTTGTTCACCAAAGATGGAGTATGTTTTAACTATGAGTATAGAGGATCGTTCAGTTTACACGTGGAAAGTCATAAAAAAAGAAGAAGAGGTCGAATTAAAATTGGATAAACCTTTTAACCTTAAAGATTTACAATTAATGATACCAATTTGTGTCTCTGATTTCGAAAATGTTATTATAACACATCTTGATAAAAATTCCCATATCTCCGGTAAGTTTGAAGTTAATCCTAAAATTATAATCCCGTCTCTTTTTTAATATTGCATATAATTATTTCAATAGAAATCAGAGATTATCAAAACAAATCAATGAAAATATTGAAGGCTCAAAAATATTTTAAAGGAATGACTATTTGCACTGGATTTCTTAAAAATGGAGATTATTTCATCGTCAAAGGGGATCCTCTTTATCAGGTCCACATCTTTTCTAAAAAAAAAAATCAGTGGCACTGCACGGATAGCATTAAACTCGTAAAATTTTCACGTTGTTTTTTTTCTCAGGAAAAATTGCTGATTCTCTTGGATGTACCTTTTGTAGTCATGCAATGGAATTTGAATGAACGAGAGTTTGAGACACAATACGAATTAGATTGGAATTTGGCTAAGTTTAAGCACTTCATTCATATGGAACTAGATAATGACTGTGCATTCTTGGCAGTATTTGGAGTTTTGCAAGAAACAATTTCAAAAGTCTATTTTTATTCAACTGAAGCTGGTACAATGATAAAAGATCGTAAGTATTACGTATGTTTATATTTATGTCGTACCAGTAAAATTTCTAATTCTGTTATTAACCTATAAAATTTATTTAACAGAATCGTTTGTTGGAATTCACACTAACCACGGAGTTATTATGAATTTCATTATATTAGATATAGAGAAATATTTTTTTATCTATTTTCAAGACGATGCCACATCTCAACAGCATGGCGTGTATCAACAGAATGACACATCTCAACTAAATCAACAGAATGACACACCTCAGCTGAATCAACAGAATGGCACATCTCAAATGAATCAACAGAGTGGTATATCTCAACTGAATCAACAGAATGGCACATCTCAACAGAACGATACACCTCAACTAAATCAACAGAATGACACATCTCAGCTGAATCAACAGAATGGCCCATCTCAAATAAATCAACAGAGTGGTACATCTCAACTGAATCAACAGAATGGCATATCTCAACTGAATGACACGTCATATGTTATTAATCTACGCACTTTTCTGAGATCAGATTCAGTAAAGTTGAATATATCGTCCGGAATTGATTTTATTATTCCTGGTTATATCGTGCGATTTCGTAAAGATCTATTTCACGAAGATCGTTTACAAATTGAAAGCTTATCACAGAGTGGAATGGATGACTTACACAATAAATTTGTAAAAGACAACAAATTTAACCTTTATTCTTCTACAAAAGAAGAAATAAAAGAAACAATAGAAAATATCCTGGAAAAATATAACTCAAAACAAGACTTCGAAACAAAAAATGACCAAGATTCAAAAACAGAAAGTCCTTTTGAAACACTCGAATACAAATTATTCATAGATCAACATTCTAGAACAAGAGAACATCGTGGTCAACTATACACCTGGACTGTTGAGGGCGTGCCTGATGGCACCTCTCCGCTTGAAGGTGGCATTGCTGTATTGACAGTCAAACAGACTGAGACTAAAAAGGAGATCGGAAATGTGTGTGTATTTTCACACACAATTGAAAATAAAGTTCATATAGTATCTAAACTACTTGAAAGCGAAGATTTGATGTTAATTACCTCTTGTGGCGTACAAATATGGACAGTAAATAATGCTTCCAGCATTGATTTGCTTCATTATTGGGCTCATTATGATACGCATTACGAATCGAAAACGACGCAAGATGCTATAACTACGCAACTTACTTTACTAAATAATAAGTTTGATTCAAAAGATTATGGAAACGCGTTACCATCTCCGTACTTTGATCAAATACTTAAATATAAGATGCTGGGGAAAATATCAGATGTGCATGACTATTTGTTACAAAAATATAGGATGAACCCTCGATTTCTGGAAATATACGGAAGGGAGCTACTCCAAAACTTAATTCAAAGGAAAAGAGTTCACGATACTAGAACATTCTTTAACGCCATTGTTGATTATAGTTCAGAACAGTTACAGAATGTCGATTTTGTTTCCAAGTATATGAAATTACTAAATGCAATTACTTATAATCTTTTGGAATTAGAAAAACTTGATAAAAATTATAGATATACGGAACGTTTTTTATCCAAAACTGCATTATTAGTTCCTAGTTATTCTGTTCCACTTATAGATGACTTCTCTACTTCAATTTACACGGATCCTTATAGAACCTTACCATATTCAGTTAACCCATCATTTTTTGACCACTTCTCTTCCTGGATTTCAGATAATTTATATAATTTAAAATTTCTAAAAAATAATCATTCCTTACGTTCCAAAAGAACCGTTAAATTAATGATACCTTTATTAAATTTTTCCACCTACGCTAAAGAAAAATATTCTATTTGCAAAGAGTTTATTAGTCCTCCCGACAACACTTTTACTTTGTTAGATTCTCCGGAATATTATAAGTGGCCGAATATTAAAGCCCTTACAAATTTCAAGTGGAATACGTATGGGAGAAAGTATCATTTTTTGACGTGGGCAATTTACTCTATATTTTTACTATGTTTTACCACCATTGCCACAATTCCACAAAAGAACATTCCGTGGAAATACCAGGAAGCTCTTTTGATAGCAACAATTTTTCTTGGACTTTTTCAGTTTACTTTTGAAGTTCGACAATTTATCCACTATCAAGGAGATTATATTAAAAGTCCTTGGAACTGGATTGGTTCGTATGATTTAATATTCAATATTTATTACATTATGTTACAAGTTTTAACATAATTTAATTTTCAGACCTTGCCGCAATATTTTTTCCAACAATAACTTCAATTATGTGGCTAATTGATAAAGGCCCGCCATTATGGACTATCGTTATATCAACACTTGTACTTGAACTCAAATTTTTGGTTTTTTTCCGTGTTCTTGATCATTATGGATCATATTTTGCGATTATGATTGGAGTAATTCAACAAATTTCCTACTTTATTGTAATTTTGGGTATTATTGTTTTGGCATTTTCCCATTCTTTACACCTCTTATTAAGACCGACCACTGAATATTCTTATGATGAACCAAGTTACGCCGATGATGAAAATAATCCTTGGAATCTTGTTTCAAGATATCAATCTATTTCCTCCGAAGGTGATATCGGAAAACCATCACTTATTGCAACTCCAGATGAAAACACAAACCTATTTTCAGCGTTTGATACTGCTCTCTTAGCAGTTTATTTCATGTTAACGGGTATTGTATGATATAATTATACAGTACTATGTTAAATATAAAATTAATTACTAAGTTTTCAACCATCATTAGGAGACCGAAGTTCAGTCTCGCCATGGGTTTTAAAAAATAATCAGACATTGGCGGTTATATTAGTTGTGTTTTCATTTTTTACTGCAATTTATTTAATGAATCTATTGATTGGATTGCTTAATACGGCGATTAATAATACAAATGAAGAAGAAGCGTTATTACACTTAAGAGGAGAGGTATTTGTTTTTTATTTATATATAATTTAAGAACATTACTGTACGTCACGTCATTTATAATTAGATAATATAATAACAATGATAATTATTACTTATAGATTTTGGCGGAGATTGAACTTTTTTGGATGCTTCCAGGCCAAAGAAGAAAGGAAAATTGGTTTCCGGAAATTTTGTAATTGTTTTACATACATTTTTTAATGTGATTTTTACTTGGAAGAGTAATTCGACCAATTTTGTAACACGAATAATTTTTTTCAGATATTACGAAATATCCCTCGAAGAACTTGCAACATATGTTAATAAAGTGGAAAACAAGCCACATGAAGAAGCATCACGGCCAAACGTTCCCTTTGCTATAAAACAAATTATTGGATACGAACAAAATCTTGATGAAAAGATCAATAACCTATCTGGAATGATTTATAACCAATTTGGAATGATTAATAACCAATTTGGAATGATTAATAATAAATTTGATGCGTTATATCAACAATTTGGAATGATTAATGTGTTAGGAGGAATGATCAATGAATTAGATAAAAAAGTTGAAAGGATTAATGAGTTTGAGAAAAGATTTGATGAAATAATCAAACCGACTAAACAAGAAAAGAAAGGTGAAGACGAAAATAAATAGATAGTTATTCTTTTTAGAAAATTTTTTTCACATTTAGGAAAATGTTCTGTCATATTTTTATTTCCAATTTTCTTAAAGAATTCATTTATTATTTAAAAAAAATTGTATTAAATAAGTGTTTGTTTTTTAGGGTTTTTTCGATTAAATTTCTGTATAAAATATTATTATCCATTTATTAAAAATTGTAGTTTTAATACTGGTTTATCAATACGTACAGTATTCAGCTGGTAAAGTAAATTCGAAAGTTGATCGATTACCAGAAAGTCACAAGACATATTAATGTAATGTGATATAATAAGCTTTCACAAACATTCGTCCCCTTATTCTTATACAGTCTTTTAAAATTAGAAAAACCTTTAAATAATATTGATTGATTATTTTATAATGATGTAAATAATATATACTCTCCGAACATAATGGTTTCATTTTCCTAGTAATTATTTACGTCACTAGATAGGTCAGGAAACGAGGAATTTGGGCAATCAGCCCTAGAGCACGACTGATAGAGCTCTTGGATGCTGTTTTAATTTATTTTTCCAAAAATTTTTCAAATATTTGTTACTGTAGAGCTAAGCTACGTCATATAAATAAAGGTACATATAATGCCGAAAATGACCAGGCAGTAAATAAAATATAAGATTCGAATCTGAATTAAAAATTGATCTAGGACATACATATTATTGGATTGTATGGCGACTTATTAATTCTAACTATTTTATTAAAGTAAATCGCATTTAAAAAGTATATGTATTTTATTTGATAAAAATACGTATTACTGTATAATCCGGAATCAAATCCTTAGGCAATGAAGCGTTAAAACAAAGTTCCATTTAAAGCTTAAAGGAATGTATAATTAACTAAAAAAATATATTATATTAAAAAAGAAACATACATTTATTTGGTAATACTATATTAACATTCTCACTATGTTGGTATGAAAGATTATCAGACGTGGCGCATCATTATGGGAAAGCTTTAGAATTTGCATGACGCGACAGTCGATTGGCAGACATGTCACAAGTAATATACATTGCTGGCAATAAAACTGACAAATTTTTTATTATAATAATATTAATATAAATTAAAAATAAATTTTTTAGTATTTTAAAATAATAAAAATACTTTCTTATATTAATATAATTATATATTTATTTATTTAAATTTTTATTTTTTGATATTATTTTTTATTAGGTTCCAATATAAAGAAGTCAGTAAGTTAAAAACTTTATTAATTATTTAAATAAATAATAATACAAAAAAACGGTATAATTTTATAAAATTATAAATTAAAAATACAATAATTTTTGGATTTTCAACTTTATATGAAAAAAATATCATAAACAACTATTATATAATAATTATAATTTTGTTTAAAAATATTAAACAAAGTTTTTTAACTATATACTGTATATACATTTTTATATAATATTAATTCCAAATATTTAAAATATTAATTAAAAAATAATAATATACAATTTAATTAGCTTATAACTTTTTAAATTGAACATTAAATTAAAAAGATTTTGAACTATAATATACTGTAAATCAAGGACTTAATTTTTGGGGGGTTTCTCCAGTAGGTAAACATTATTTCTTTATTTTGATTTGTATATAACAAGATATATATTGTTAAAAGAAACATCTCTTTCATTATTTCAAAAAAGTTAAATGCTAGCTTGCTTACTTATCAAAATCTAACTAATATTGTAAAAAAAATCAAAATCAATATTAATGTGGTAAATAAGACTGAGTAGTAGCTATGCCTACAATCCCAGAAAATTTTATAAATTCTTTTAATTTTTTGGATGTAAAAAATTAAAAATAAAAATAAAAGTAGTTATAACTAAAACTAAATTAAATATACTATAAGATCCATGCATGTAATGAAAGAACCTCCTGGTGGGCTTGTGATTCCAACTCTCTATTCTTCTGGGTACTATAGATAATAAAGTGCATGTGACATTGTTTGTTGTTATAATCATTGGTAGTAAGTTAGTTGTTGTTATTGTTATGATCATTGTTATGATAAAAATTGGTTTGAGCTTGTTTGGTTTTTGTTTTAATAATTAGATAAAATCTGATTGGATGATTGAAAAGCACTAATCATTTAAAGAGGGTAAACTGATTTCAATTTTTTGAGTGAGAAATTTTTGGAGATTGAAGGTGACACAGCAAATATTGCTATGAGAATATTGTTTATAAGAGTTGACTTGAAAAAAACAATAGATTTACTAACTTTGTTTGAGTATGTGTTTTGGAAAGTATTTAGTTTAGCAAGTATAATAGTAATAATGTGAATAATTTTTATAATAGAATAAGAGTAAAGAGGAATGCAAGAGAACTGAAGAAAAGAGAACTATCACAGGTCTTTTCTCATTTAACTGAAAGATAAACAAGACTCCCAAACTTATGTAGACTTTAATCAGAGGTCTCATCCCTCTGCATCAGTTGTCTTGAAGGTTTTTAAGTTCCTGAGCTGGGATTCACTTGTGATAAAAAGAATAAAACATTTTTCTTGCTTAAAATTATTATAAAAAAATTTTTTTAACAAAACAAATACAATTATAAAAGAGTTTTTAAATCAAGGTTTTAATTTTAAACATTTTAAGAAAAATAAAATTTATTATAAATACAATTAATTATATATATATATTAACTTATTATATTGTTACACTTGATTTTCACCTAAGATCTTCAATGCCCCTGCCCAATTTTTACTAACATTTACCCTTAAAATGTTACCTATTCTAGAATAATTCTTGTATTACTATCCTTGTTATTGTTTAGCACTGTACTTTTCATGCTATTATTGCTCTAGAATATTTCCTATTTTATTTATTTCTCTTTATTATT